GGCTCCGGCATTCTTCAGGCCGAATGGCATGGTGATATAGCAGAAGCACCCGAATGGAGTGATGAAAGCTGTTTTTATCTCGTCGGGTCCGTACAGATGGATCTGGTGGTACCCGGAGTAGGCATCTAGAAAAGACAGTCTCTCGCATCCCGCAGTCGGGTCAACAATTTGATCTATGCGAGGGAGAGGAAAATGATCTTTCGGGCAGGCCCGGTTGATGTGCTTGAAATCAATGCACATTTGGAGAGATTTGTCCTTCTTAGGAACCATGACGACATTAGCGAGCCACTCGGAGTGGTATATCTCTCGGATAAATCCTGCCGCCAACAGTCGAGCCACTTCCTCACCAATGGCTTTTCTCTTCTGGACGGCGGACCGCCGAAGATGCTCTTTGACTGGTTTTGCAGATGAGTCGACTCTTAGGCGATGCTCAGCCAGTCCCCTGGGAACACCTGGCATGTCAGCGGGCTTCCATGCAAAAATGTCCCAGTTCTCACGGAGGAACTGGATGAGCGCTTCTTCCTATTTCGGGTCGAGTGTTGTGGAGATGTGGGTCGGAGCTGCATCGGGGTCGGTCGGGTGAATGTGAACAGGCTTCGTCTCACCGGACGACTGAAATGCAGACTCTGTGGCGGGTTTCTTGGATCGCAGCAAATCACTCGGATCTGCATTTTGCTTGTATTCTTCGAATTCGACCGCTGTCACCTGGGAATCGGCAATCTTTGAGCCCTTCTGAAAGCACTCTTCTGCCTTTTTCCGATCACCGGTGACAGTGATCACTCCTTTGGGGCCGGGCATCTTCAATTTGAGGTACACGTAGCATGGTCGAGCCATGAACCGTGCGTAGGCTAGTCTCCCCAAAATGGCATGATATGCACTCTGAAAATCCACGACCTCGAACGTCAACTTCTCTTTGCGAAAATGTTTCGAATCACCAAACACCACGTCCAGAGCTATTTGGCCGAGTGACTCGGCTTTCTTCCCTGGTATAACTCCATGAAGCCTCATGTTACTGGTGCTCAGTTGAGACATCGGAATGCCCATTCCTTTCAGTGTGTCTGCATACAACAAATTCAGCCCGCTTCCACCGTCCATCAGCACTTTTGTCAGTCGAGTGCCTTCGACAACTGGATCGACCACCAAAGCTTGCCTCCCAGGGGTGGCAATATGAGTCGGGTGATCAGATTGGTCGAATGTGATGGGTATTTGGGACCATTTCAGATAATTTGCTTTTGCTGGGGCAACCATGTTCACTTCTCGGTTAATGACTTTCAATCGACTCTTGCTTTCCACATCTGCAAAGATCATCGGAGTGGAGTTGATATGCGGATATCCTCCCTCACTGTCCTCCTTGTCTTCGGCCTTGTCCGACTCCTTCTCCTTGTCCTTAGACTGTTTTCCCTGAAACTGCTGGATCAGGAGTCGACATTGGCGAGTGGTGTGCTTCGGGTAGATGATATTCCCCTCTTCGTCTTTCTTCGTGTGGATGTGACACGGCATATCCATCACGTCGTTCCCTTCTTTATCCTTCACCTTCTTAGGGTTCCAGGATCCTTTTGGTTTCCCTTTAAACTTTCCCTGAGTCACGGCCAGAGCCTCTCCAGGAGCTGCTGGTTCAGCCTTCCGCTTCTGTTTCCGACTGGTGTTTCCCTTTTCCGACTGGCTCGGCTTGTGCTTGCCGCTTCGGAGTCGGTCTTCTTCTTCGCCGTTGGCGTACTTGGTAGCAATCTCCATCATCCGACTCAAGGTCATGTCAACGGTTCGACCAAATTTCAAACTTAATTCTCTGTTCTTGACGCCATCTTTAAAGGCGCAAACTGCTTGATGATCAGACACATTCTCCACAGTATGGTGCAAAGTGATCCATCTCTGAATATACTCTCTGAGAGTCTCATTGGTCTTCTGCACGCAGACTTGCAACTCTGTCAGTCCAGCTGGTCGCTTGCAAGTTCCTTCAAACGTTCTGATGAACACTCGGGACAGATCTTCCCAAGTGTAAATGCTGCTAGGAGGTAATTGAGTCAACCATGCCCTAGCAGAACCTTCCAGCATGAGGGGCAAATGCTTCATGGCCACCTCGTCGTTCCCACCACCAATCTGAACTGCCACTTGGTAGTCCTCAAGCCAAGTTTCAGGCTTAGACTCACCAGTGAACTTGCTGACTCCTGTTGCCAACCTGAAATTGGGAGGGATAACTGCGGCTCTGATAGCTCTGCTGAAACATTCAGGACCAGAAACATGCACTCGACTGCTTGTGGGCGCGTCTCTGTCGAGTCCGCCTCGATGGGCTCTGTTCCGGTCGACCAAACCTTGCACGATAATGGATCGCACATCGAAGCCTGGTTCTCTGGGGTCGACTGGAACTCTTCGCCCCGTACTGCACTGACGCCTGTCATCTTGCTGCCGAGGAGCGTAAGACCCACCCCTCGGAGGGGAATTGGGCACTCGACGCCTAGCATCTCGGTCGAGTCGGTCACCATATTGGTCTCGCCGATTCTCGCGCCCTTCACGCCGCGGAGGCGATCTGGGACTGTGAGCCGACTGAACCGTATTCGCACCGACGGATCGACTGTGAATTCTGTTGCGCGACTGCGACACGGCCGAATTCTGATCTCCTGCTGCCCGGAGCAGATCCCTGATCTGCATCAAGCCTCTGCCAGCTTCCGACTGAGAGGGTTGGATGGACTCTGCTATACGGGTCGCAGCTGCTAAATTCTGGATTGGGGTTCGATATACCTGAGTCGGCGGGAAGAGTTGACGTCGATTGGTGTCGGGAATTCGTTGCCGCGCGCGCTCGTCGAGTGCTCGCTGAAGATTCTCCAGTCGAGTGCGTTCGGCCAAATTGGCCAAACGTGCCTCCTCCAAGGCGTGGGCCTCGGGGGTTTCTCCTGCGATGGGAGTACGCAAGACATCCACGTTCCTGCGGCGAAGTTCTTCTCTTTGCAGAGAGTCGAGTGGCTCGGGCTGGTACTCTTCATGGTCTCGTGCGGGGTCGCCTCCCTCGCCTGCTCCACCATCACGGGCGAAGCCAGGGGGACTGCGGGGCCCGTCGACCATCAGGATTTCCGCCGCAGGATCACTGCTATCGCACTCGGATGCGGTCTCTACGGAGCCAGTCGACAGATCGAACAAGCCGTAGAGAGATTCGTCGGGCTCGATTGCCGCAACTTGGGTGGTGGCCGACTGGCGAGCCACCGCGTGCCTCACCCACCGCTGAAGCCTCGACCGGCCTGAGCGTTTCCGCTGGCGGGAGACCGGGAGGGTGGCCGATGGGGGAGTCGACCGATACGGGGTCGACGGTTGCCGCAGCAGAACGCCGCGGACACATGCGCGAAAATGCGTCGCACCGCGGACGGGGAGCGCATCAACGTCGAGTGGAGCCTCCTGGAGCCAGGCGGAGTCGTCGGCGATGAAGGTGAGAGCGCCGAGACGGATCTCTCGACCCTCGACCAAAACTCCAGCAGCCACCATGATGAAAGTACTCGGAAGAATCGCAACTTCTCCACAAAATTGCTAAAACACCTGCCCCACGGTGGGCGCCAACTGTCGTGGTTCTAAGCCTGACAGTAGAGTGGGGGGTAGGTATGGAGAGGCAAGGTCCTAGCTATGGAGAGGTTGTAAACACAAGGGATGTACGAGTTCAGGCCCTTCTCGGAAGAAGTAATAGCCCTACGTCTCGGAGCCCGGAGGCGGTCGAGTGGATTATGTGTATATGAGTTACAAGGTGCCGAACCCCTCTACCTGTGGAGGAGGGTGGCTTATATAGAGTGCGCCAGGACCCCAGTCAGCCCACGTAGGAGAGGGTTTAAGGTGAGTTAAGTCTGGGGCGTTACTGATAACGCCCCACATAAAGTGTCTTTACTATCATAAAGTCTACTTAATTACAAGCCGTTGCAGTGCAGAGTGCCTCTTGACCTTCTGGTGGTCGAGTGAGTCTTCGTGGTCGAGTCCTTCAAGTCAGTCGAGTGAGTCCCTCGTTGGTCGACTGGAAGGTGACCTCTTCTAAGGGTGTCCTTGGGCAAGGTACTTAGATCAGGTCCGTGACCTTACCCTAGTACATGACCCCATCACATGTAAATACAGAAACTATACAGTCTAACATGTACGGTGCCCTCCAGCGCCTGCACGACTTGCACCATGGTTGGGCGCTGCGCCTCCTCGTCCTGGATGCACCAGCATGCCACCTTGCACACCCGCTCCAGCTCCTCTGGCATCACGTCGCCACGAAGCCACAGGTCAGCCACGGTGCCCACCTCCCCTTCCACGACCTTCCCGGCGGCCCAGACCGGGAAGAAGGTTGACGATCCACGCCGCACAGTCCCCGCCGCATGCCGCACCTCGCTATACGTACCCCTCAGAGTTGCGTCGTCCGGAGATGAGCTCGAAGAGCACCATCCCAAAGCTGTATACGTCCGCCTTGGCACTGATGGGCTGCCCGGAGATCCACTCCGGCGCGAGGTACCCGATGGTGCCCCGCATGGTCGTCAGCGCGCGGCTAAAGTCCCTCCCCACCAACTTCGCCATTCCGAAATCGGCGATCCTAGGGGACATGTCCTCGTCTAGCAGGATGTTCTCCGGCTTGATGTCGCAGCGTATGATGCACTCATGGCAACCGTGGTGCAAGTAGGCCAACCCTCTGGCCACGCCGATCATGATGCAGTACCGATCGCGCCAGCTCGGGCACGCGCCGCCGTCAAAGAGGTAGCCATCAAGGGAGCCTCTAGGCATGTACTCGTACACGAGCATCTTCTCGTCGCCCGACGAACAGAACCCGAGGAGACGGACGAGGTTCACGTGCTGGATGAGCCCCAGCGTGCTCACCTCCGTCCGGAACTGCTTGTCGCCCTGCCGCCCACCAAGACATTCCAGCTTCTTGACTGCCACTTGGACTTGGGCCGTCTTGCCTCCTTTTTGCTCCTTCAGGATGCCGCGGTACACCGAGCCGAAGCCGCCGCCACCTAGCCTCTCCGAGAAGTTATTGGTGGCGGCATGGAGGTCACCTAGCTGTACACGGTCAAGGACGACCCCTTCTGGTTTGCCATGCGCCTCCTCCGGGCTAGGAGAATCCTCCAGGCTAGTATTACCGACGCACCCAGTGCGGCAACACCTACTAATGTCATGACAAGAACAAGCCATGACAATTTCCCGCCTTTACTGACCGTGTTGTGGAGGTCTCGCAATCCTATTGCCGAGAGCCGGAGATAAACGTCCGATCGGGATACGCCGGAGTCCGCGTAGAGCTGCTGAAGGTTGCGGAGCTCTCCGTGCCAGACGGCGCACCTCCCGGTGGAGAAGGTATAGGCCTCGCAAGAGCAGCTCTTTTGGCAGGCAGACTCGCACTCTGCTTTGCTCTGGACAGCGCCCACGGCGAGCGAGTCGTCGGGGAGCTTCACGTTCGGTAGCACCACGAACCCGTCCGTCGTCGAGCCGTTGTATGGGCACCAGAGCGGCGCGCTCCGGCGGCACCCACCGCTCCAGTCGCTGACTGTCCAGTCCCCCTCCAACGCCGGAGCGAACCCGGGTGGGCACCTGCACGACGGCTGGCTACTCAGGTCGCAGACCCCGAACGTCCCGCAGAGCGCGTACACGTCGCACTGCACGGTGGGCGCGGCCCAGAAAAGTTGCCAGTTCTGGGTCGCGGGCACCCAGATGTACTGCTTTGTCTGGCCGGTTAGTTCGAGCACCATGCGCGTGATGGTTGTGCTGTTGTAGAGCGCGTTGCTGACGCGCCGGTACGCCGGCGTCTCGACGTACGTCTGGTTGAAGAGGACGTTCCTCGTCGCCTCCGGCATGGTCGCGAAGAAGCGCCCCGTCCAGACGCCGCTGCGCCAGTACGTGCGGGACAGGTTCCACATGTAGAAGAACTCGCTGGTCCCATTGGGGTCCACCGTGTCGGTGAACATTCCCGGCGCAGGGTCTTGGGCGTTCCGCCACGACGTCAGCACCTGGTACTCGCCGGTGAGCTTGTTCTCCCCGAGCCACGCGTCGGGAACCAGCGTGTCCGTGGGGTGGTCGAAGCTCTGCCACAGCACGTTGGAGGAGTTGCTGCCGTCCAGAAGGACCAGGTTGCCGTTGTCGCGGATCTCCGCCGTGTTGTTCGAGCCCGGTGACGACGACGAAGACAGGTTCGATGACCACACGATGACCGGCGAGCCGGAGGCAAAGGTGGGACCGACGAGCTCGAGGTTACCATCGTCGACAGAGACCCGGAGCTCGGCCGAGGCGACGCCAGACAATGGAGTCGCGCGGTTGCCGACCCAGACGACGGTCTGGCCGGGGATGTTCTTGTACCAGACCCCGAGGTAGAATCTGCCGTCGGAGCTGCCAGCGGGGCTGAACAGGCCGAGCTCGAACTTGCCCTGCGCCGAGGCCAGCGTGTCGTTGCCCTGCAGCGGACGCCGCGCGGAGATCGCCGCTGCACCCGGAGCAGGGGCGAAGCACAGAGTAAGCGCTGCGAAAGTGGCAATGATCAACGACATGGTGATCGGTGGATTTTACAGGCTGAAGGTGAATGCCCGAGACGGGCCGCAAGAAAAACGATCCCGCGAGCGACGCACGCGTGATGAGTGATGAACATTCGTGCATAAAACTTGTACCATTACTGCATTCGTCCGTCAAAAAGGGGCAACGGGATAGTTACTGATAGAGACTTTGATAATGAAAATATGGGACAAGTGGCTTAAATGCATGGCTGGTGTGTCGTTGAATTGGTCCGTGGCATGAACGGTCAGTGCCTTGCCGCGAGACCACGATATCTACCATGGCGAGGAACGTACAAAGCAGCTGGAAAGCTGGAAGGGAGTGGAGATCTTCTCTTTTATTCCTTTTTTCTTCTCTTTTTTTTTCTCTTCTTATTTATTTCTTCTCTTCTTCCTCTCCTCTTCTTCTCTTTTCTTCTTCTTTTTATTTTCCTTTTGGTAAGTGTTTGGGCCCGGTGCGCCGGCCGAAGTGCTCGGCCGGTCGCTTCCCTTTTTCACGCGCGGGACACGCTGGCAGGCGCGCGCTTAGTTGACCCAAACGTTTTTCACTTTTTTTCTTTTTTCTTTGCTTCTTCTTCCTTCCGCCAGTCGTCTATCCCTATCTCATCTCCCCCATTGTAGCGCGTGGAGCAGCTCGCCGTCGGCCATGGATATAGATTGCAACCCCGCTTGCCTTCCCACCTCCTTTTTCTTCCTTCTCCCTCTCTTCCCTTTTCCTCCTCCTCTCTTCCCCTTTTGTTGCAACCGGCGACAGGCAAAACGCCGGGAGGACCGAGGTGCCCGTGCTACAACCACAGCCACGGGGAGGAGCTGCAACCGCGGTACTGGGAGAGTTGCAAACGGTGTTTTCCCGTGCTACAACCATAGACACAAAAAGCTACATCCAGTAGATAAAAAAGCTTCAACCAGACAACAAAATACAGAAAAAGTTACAACCATTTGACAAAAAGCTTCAACCTGCAGATGAAAAAGCTTCAACCAGAGATTGAGAAATCTTCCTTGATGACGGACATGTCGTCTCCCTGTGATTTTGCTGCAACCGAATGATAGAGGAAGATTTCACCCAGGCGCTGCTCAAAATGAAAAAAGTTTCAATGGTTTACAGAAAAGCTTCCATCGTAGAGGGGAAAATCTTCAACCATTTGTGAGAAAAGCTACAGCCGTATCAATTTTTTGCTACCACCGTCTGTGTGTTTTGCTACATCCGTTCATGCGGCCATGGTGCTTTTTTACGACCGAGGCGTGACCGGCGACGACGAAGACGACATTTTTGTTGCAACAGCCTCGTTTTTTGCTACCAGTGACGATGTGTTTTGCTACATCCATTCACGAGGCCATGGTGCTTCAAGCGCGGCGGCGAGTTCCAGCGGCGTTCACGGATTAGCTACAACTGCGGCGAGTGTTGCATGTGTCGATGGCCGACAGCAACGGAGTTGCGACGAACTTCATCGCCAAGTTGCGGCTAACGGCGGAGGTGGCTAGCTGCCATCCGCGGAGGGTGGGGGATGGGTGTTGCGAGGTCAACAGCCGGCGGGAGGCGGCCCGCGGTGCCGTACGGCGAGGGGCGGGGGTGTGGCGAGGAGCGGGGGCGCGGCGAGGTGCGGCCTGCCGCGATGTTGTGCTGCGCGGCGAGGGGCGGGTGCAGTGCGATGCGGGAGGATTTTTTCAGAGGGATCTCGATCTCGATCACGCAGATCTGACGACCCTGGCTCATGTATCGGACGGCTGGTGCTGGACCGGCCCAACAGTTGGGCCGGCGCACCGGCGCAGATTAGCGCCCTTTCCTTTTTCCACTCCTTTTTCTTCTTCTTCCTTCTTCCTTCTTCCTCTTTTCTTCCTTTTCCTTATTTTACTTTTTCATCTACACTAACCTAAAATGCACTAACCTAAAATCGATATCTACTAATTAACAACCTAAATAAAAAAATTAATACATATATGAAAAAAACATCATATGACAAAAATATCATATGCACAAAAAAACATCATATGAACATCATATGAACATCATATGAAAAAACAACAACATATCAACATCATCACATATATGAAAAAATGGAAGGTCGCCGGACCGTGGGGCGGCGCGGCGCGGCGACGGCGTCGGGGCAGCGGTGGTGTGGGGCGGCGCGGGGCGATGATGGCGTCGGGGCGACTCAGGGCGGCGACAGTGTCGGGGCGAGCTCGAGGAGGTGACGGCGACGGGGAGACGCGGGGCGGCAACGGCGTCGGGG